ACACGTCATAAAATATTTTTGGTCTAATTACATGTAAATTACACTCTATTATCAATGGGAAATGATCAGACCACATAACATCGTATTTCACATACACATCTGTAATCGAGCCAACAGCTGATTTAGTGGTGATACAATGATCGAGCCAACTTTTTGAGGCGTGCGCTTTACTTACAAAAGTGTACGTGCCCGACCGTAAACCTAGCCACTCAACGTCCGCTCAAACCCAGTCATGGTCATTACAAAAGCACGACAACTCATTATAAAACAGCTCACCCGGGTTTGCATTAAGATCACCAAGTATATACACTGACTCGGAATTACTGCTATTTACCACAGCACTCACCGCACTCAAGCAATCCGTGAAGTCTGTCTCATTGTCCAGTTTGTTCGTGGGCATGTAAACACTGAACACTAGGAATGACCGCTGATCCATCACTAACTTAATAGCACAGATTCGCGAATTAGCGCACTGCACAACCGTCACATTCGTAAACACCTGTTTGTTCCACAGAAGTGCGATACCACCATACGGTCAACCCCGCAACATCCCTGTTGCTGTGTCAATCGCGGACGTTCCCGTCCACCCAAAATTTGCATCGATGCTACTAAGAACTGCAATATCATCGGGCAATAACCACGTTTCCTGTAACGCAATGATATCTGCCGACTTACACAACTGTCGTACACACTCCAAAGAGCGCTTCACATTTTTACAATTAAAACGAATTAATCTATGTCGGGAACAAATATACGCGATTTAAATCCGGAAAAATAGTTTCATTTCCTACAAAATTTGTTGTTTATGACATTAGAAATACAGTCTTGGAAGGTTGTTAGCAGTGTTATCAGATGGTTACATTTCTTACATTTATCGTAACTTTTGCCCCTCTCGCGTAATGTGTAAGTAACTTTTGTTTTTTCGTAACTTTTGAGGACGTTGAGATTTTTTAAATTCAACTATACTTCTTATTGTAAATTCTAAATAATTTACGAACGCATCCAAATTAGACAATAAAGTACTTTAGGAACAACAAGTCGTGCGCCTGATGGTTAGCTACACGCCTGTCCATAACAGTTACAGTGCCACTCAGAGCTTTAAATTGCAAAAGCAGTTCTGAGGGGCATTAACACCGCGCCCGTCACCCGATTAGTTGACAAATCCCATGTACCTATAATTTCACCGTTCAAAACCAGAACACTGTAATGCTGACATTAATGCTTGCCGGCAGAAATAGGTAAGGTGGCAGTACTAACCTCTTTAGACTAACTAACTCTTTCACAAGGAGATCTAGAAGAATTTACTACACAAGGAGATCTACTTAGAATTTACAAATTCATTACATTAATTAAAAACTAAACAGACTAAACATTGAATCCCATTAATATTTGCACATCTGCTTGCAGGTTGAATACAATGTACCTAATTTACTTAAGACGTATGTTAGCGGCCCCATCTACCGACACCGTCCCTACAACTATTGCAGGCCGTTAAAACAGTGTAATTAAATACATCACCCTGCCACTAGATGGCGTTGATTTGTAAATAATATAGGTTTCGTTATTTATGATTGTTAATAATTAATATTGATCGATGAATATAGTAAATATAATAATGTTGTAACGATAATAGTAATTAGAATAATAATTGTAAAGATAATAGTAACAACAGTAATTGTAAAATTGTAACACTGTTTAGTATAAGGGAAAGGGTTGATTTGATTGTCTATATAAGAGGTGCTCTGTCTTTAGTGTAGGAATATTTTTTCACTGTCTGCGCTTATTTGAATAAAAGCCGTTACGCTGCCCGTCTGACTCTTAATTTTCGCCACTCCTACAATATGTATTCTATTCTATTGTATTCTATTCTACTGCTACTAAAAATATACTCAAAGATGGCGTGAACAAAATTAAATTAATCAATTATTGGTTATAACTTGCGTACTTATTTTTTATTTTGAAGGTTTAAGCGTTTATATATCTTTTACAGTTAGAATTTTTAATTGAAAAACGCTTTTAAAATATAACTTGCAAAAATGTTATTTTCGACTCAAGGTTCCTGGCAACACTGGTAGTTAGTATTTTACAAAGGATTCGCTCTGGACCTTTTGGAGGGAAAGTGTCCTTTTTATTTTGACTTTCAATTATTTTGTGAAATCTAGTTTAAAGTGGAATAGGATAGTGCTATTGTGCCTTAATCGAAGATTAAAACGCGAAATTATACGAATCTCGAACTAAAATACCCGTATCGGCCCGTTCTAAGGAATCCCGAGTCAATCCAAGCACGCCGTTTCAAATTGCCTATCCTCTTTGTGGCGGCCATATTAAACTTATTTTTATGTTCTCGGCTGAAGGACTTTGTTTCCATGGCCAGAAATACATTAATAAAAAAAAAGTATTTTACAAATATTTCGTATACCAGTGCGCTGGTGTTGTTTTTTTAATTTTTTTTATTAGAAAATCCTTTTTGCACAAGCACGTACACGAATGGTTGAATGGAACGCACGGATGGTGTCATGCAAACTCCAAACTGCTTTTAGAATAGATAGCAATGTTTAAAATGGTGATGAGTTCGGATAGAGGGATTAGTAAATGAAAATTTGCTCTTATTTGCGCTGTATTCTTTTAAGGTGTGTTTTCATGTGACGAATTTAAGTGTAGATGATTATGGTCATTCATATTACGCCACGGAAATTTCATGACATGTTGACCCTTTTCTTCTTATCCAATTTCCTATGCCTTCATATGCCCAGCGGCCAACTAGTTATACGCATATTATAGTCGGTAATATGTATACTATAGTGAGTGTACAGTACATTACAGTACGTCCATTCTCACATTCGGTGTTCTCAGCTTAATTACCGTACCCACTACCGTACCGTAGCCATTGCTTTTTCTTGCTTAATATAGCCAATAACATTGAAATATGAATAACTTTAAGTTTAACTATCAATATGTCTATACGGCATTAGAACAGATAGTTTTCAATTTATTAAGACACAAATATTTTATAGAAACGGTAATTAGATCTAATTATCGTATACGGTTTCGTATATCGTATCGGATACGGTACCTAACTAGAAAATTCGGACACTTCTAAGAAAAACCGAGTTTTTCTGACACAATTGAATTATTTGTATATTTAATGTATTTAATTATTATTTGTAATTAGGCTGAGAACACACAATGTGAGAATGCCCTTTACCAGATTAATAAAATTGTGAAACGAAACGTATTTGACATTAACTTTGTTTTTGTGTCACCACCCGTCCATTTACTAAGATATTAATATGATAAACCATTTTCTGCCCAAGCAAGGAGCGAAACGAGCAAGTCGGAGTCCATCCAGAACCGATATGGGCCCTTTCGGCTAAGTTTGATGACAGTTTTTTTAAACTACGAGTACTCAAAACGACTTCAACAATTTTTTTAAATTGTATATCTCAACAACGCGCAGTTACCACGCCTTCATGTACATTAATGGCGAATCTGAATTATATTTACTACTGACCATATTCAAGCCAGACTCGCCCGCGCGCCCGTGGCGCTCATTTAAGTTAAAACTTAAAAATAAATAAATAGAATGTATTTTGCCATGACAGACAAGCGGTCGCCGCGCGGCGGCAACGCGGTCCCCTCTCGGCGACCGCGCGGCGGGGAGGGCGCGTTGAAATTGGTGTCGAATAAATGCGCCGTTAATCTCTCCATTTTTGTTGCTGTGTAGGAGAAACTCCCTAAAACTCTCCTCCCCTTCGCCTCGCCCAGCTTCAATGTGTTACGCAGTCTGCCCTCTTTATCATAAGTAACGTAATCGAATTTTTATCGAAAATGCGACATTAATACTGGGATAAGCGAAACGAGATCTATATTCCCTATTAGCAGTTTTTTTATAATATATCTTATTTAGTTTTAGTTTTATTGTTAAGCAAAATCAGCGGAATTGACATTTTTTATTAGCAAAAAACAAACTTTAGGCGCCAATATTTCGAAAGTTACCGAAATGCCAATTCATTAGTTATGACAGGAAGGGCTATATTCTAAATAAATAAAATAAAAAAATCATTTATTTTGAGACAACATAGTCCATACAACGGCGAAATACTTTCATATGTTAGCTTACCCAATCGATTCGGTATAGGAAAGAACCAAGGAATAATCACTGGACTTTTATTTTTAATTTTTAATAACCCAAACCCGTCCGATGGCTTTCGCCGTACCCCCAGTGTTGTCATCTTTTTAATCAAAATTCCCCATCCTAACGAAATCGACAATAAATTTTCCAAATTTAGTAATTATTGTAAGTCGTGATAAGCATTTTAAAGTAAATAATAGACTAAACAATCGTTTTTGCTAACACGTAGATTTCTCATAGATGGCGCTACGGCTAAAAAGTCTTTGAAAAACCAAATACAAAGGTACGACAACAAGCACATACATAGAAAAATTCGTGAGGTCCGCTGGTTCGTTCTGTGACTTAGTTGGCATAGCGTCTGGCACGGTTTGCTAGAAGACATCGGTTTGAATCCGGTCGGATCGAAGGAATTTTTTCTAAGTGTTCTATCTTTCTATTAATAATTGCTCCATACAAGTTAGTAAGTTAGTAACATAACACACCTTATAACTATGTTATTATTAGGATTAGTATGGTACAGTCACTCTACAGGCTGACAAATTACATAACATCAAGGTGAATTTAGCCCCTCCGGCTGCTCACTGACTCACACGTAAAACATGTGACTCAGTGAACCTCCGGAACAGTGCTGCATTCATCCTGTCAGCTATCATCTTCAGAATCTCGTAGCTGCTACCCCTCACTCTTCGTACTATTGATGTGGACATTTTACGCATGATAGCATAGAAATCGTCCACAGCAGCGTCTGCGAACATTGCAGATGCACTGCAGAAACGGGAGAGCCTCAACAAGGCCCTGAAGGTGTTATTATAAAGCCCTTCCACATAGGGTATAAATTAAGAGATAGAAAATGTTACAGTTCACTCACTTCATCTCAGCGTCAGTCTTGGCGAGCATCCACACGACGCTGCCAGGATCTCTTCTGGACCCGAGGGCCATGAGCTGCGAGACCTTTGCCCCAGGCGGAAGCGTTGGTCTCCTGGGTACCTGGCCAGTCCAGCTAGAGATTGCAAGCATTTCTGGACTCTCCTTTACCAAATGCTTTTGAGTTGCTATGCATTTGCCTGATGCGTCCTGTAACAATATTATTTGGTACAATTTAATGGAACACTATGAAATTGAAATTTATTGGTAACGATATTATATGCAAAGTTGTCAATTTGTAGGGAAATCCCTAAATTGCGGGGAATTTCAACTCGATTCGAGATTTTGTGGGGATTAGTGTTATGTGGGGAAAATGCGGGGATTCTAACTTTTTATCATTTTGTTTAATCTATCGAGTGCTGATGCATCACTGGTTTGATGGTTACTGATAAAAAGACTGTGATGAACGATATTGATATTTTTTTTCGACATCGCAAACCCCCACCCCCATAGCAACATATACATAATATATAGAATATTAGAAAGCCACTAACATAGAATTCTTGGTTTTGAATAGTAAAATTACCAGTCGGTGCGTGTTGAGTGTGCGACCTTAGGCTTAGGCCGGTCCCCGGTATGAAGAAAAACTAAATTACCACAATTAAACAATGCTGAGCAGGTGGTACTTCCACACAACAACATGCCACTCGTCAACTTTAAATATGAAATTTACGAACTGAATATTTCTAACCTTAGCATAGTGTCACCAAATGGTTTATGTTTTTTCAAAGACTTGTTGTGTGTTGTTGAATCTCATTAAAATAAATAAACGATTTAAAGTAATTTTATATTGTTCTCCCCAAATTTGAGGATTTTGAATTGGCATAAGGTATTAAATTCGAAAACCAACTCGAAAACTTTATGGAAAAATATGAAACGTGTTCTTGTACTTTGACTTGCCCGACCACTTATCTAACCCCGATGCTATAAATGACCATTTTTAAATGTTCCTGGTAGCAATGAAGTGCCAATATCAGACCTGACATATTACGAAAACAATGTGGGGGAAATACTGGATCCCAAACTGGTGGTACGGAGAAACCATCTTCCCTGTTGAAATTAGGATGTTTTTTAATTTCAATGGCCTCTCGCAGCATCCTGGGTAGATAACGGACTTCTTTTGCAAGGACGTGGGGTTTGTCAAAGTTCATTGAATGTGTAGGTTTATCCATGACATGCTCGCAGACTGCAGACTTGTTTACGCGACGTTGTTTGACATCAGCTATATGTTCTTTGACGTGGGTACAAATACTTCGCTTCGTTTGTCCAATATAAGAGTGACCGCACTCACAGTCAAGCTTGTAAACTCCTGCATCCTGTAAGGGGATGTTACATTTCACGGGTCTCAGGAACTGAGAAATCTTCCTCAGGGGTTTGAAATAGGTCTTGATGGATGCACGCCTGAGGACTCTTCCAATCTTGTCTGTAACGCCTTATAATGTATTTTCATACTTATGCATACATTATTTGGAAGTATTTAAACATACACAACATACACACCCACACCCACAAACGCACATCTGTTACAGTTTAATATGTACATATATATCGAGTTCTTAGGTTTTCGCGATTGTTACACATAGGAAATGAAACTATTTTTCCGGATTTAAATCGCGTATATTTGTTTTCTCAAACAAACCCTTTTTGTTTGAGAAAACAAATATAAGCGATTTAAATTCGGAAAAATAGTTTCATTTCCTATACATATATATAATTATTTTATTGTTATATTCAAGTAAGTACCTAAGTATGCTTGCATATATTGTTCCGTGACCTCACTTAAGGTCCTACTAACTGAAAATCGGTGCTGGGAACGCATTGCGTTTTCCAGCAAATACTGAGTCACAAAGAGGGGGTCACAAACCCTTTTCTTACCGCGGCTGGCACCACACAAAGGATCTCAATATGTAGTGTTCTTTTTATTATTTATGTGAATAGTTCCTGTTTTAATTTTATCAAATTTTTGTATATACATTTTTCTTTTGTGTTTGTTTGTGTTTTTGGTTCGTAATAATTTAATTATGTTTTACGTTGAATGTTTTAGTTCTATTTTGTTCCGTTTTCTCTTTTTTTTTTGTCTTTTGTGGTGTCATTGTGGTCAACAAATAAATGTATTTTCTTTCTTTTCTTTCTTTCTAAATTGGTATTGGCAACGGTGATTGGAAGTTACAAATCTGAGTTTGTCAAGGCAAATAGTATTACCTGAATAGGAAATAAGTGGATGACATTTTTTTGTGATTTCTAATTTATGTGGCACGTTCCCGTGTCGTTTAACGTGTTAAAGCACGTCAAGCTTTACAAACACTAAGGCATATATTTAACTCTACCCTGCTTGAATTTATACTTTATACCGAATGTTCAAAAGTTCAAAGGCAAAGTTTGTTTTATATTTTATTGTTATTGTCTATATTAAACGCAATCAGATTATCCTTTTACATTAGATCAATCAGTTCGATACTCTGTAGGGTGATACCAATTTATTAAATCATAATTCAAAAGTTGTTTGGAAATTATACAATTTTTCCGATCCAAATCTCTGAAAAAATAGATTCTTTTTCAATTTATAACAATCACTAAAACCTAAGAACTGAAAACTTTATATAAAAGTTTATATAAAAAATATAAGCTAAGTATAATATCTTACAGTGGAATATTGTACAAATAACCACAGACTAACGGCTCATGAGTATTTTCTATTCAATTAGTGAGCCATTTTCGAACTACTTCCATACATTTTTTTACAGGGCTGACCGCCCTTAAAGAGTCCCATTTACCCCCCCGTTACGTAAACGCGTCGTAAGACTACATGTAAACGTATCACCTGCTCCGTTAATAAGCGGCTGAACATCCAAGCCCATAAATTATCCGAGCCATTTCCACTCCCTAGATTACACTACTTGGACCGGAATGGTATGCAATAGCGGTTTGGCAGACGAATTTGATACCATAGGGTAAATGGTATTAAGACGCTGAATATCGTCAATTACGCTTCACTTTAAAGTGTTTTTAGCAAGTTCTGTTCAACTTGAGGCAGTGAAAATAATGTGTATTTTCTTCATCGTATTATCTAAAACGTAGTTGTTTCCAAAACACGATTTTATAAACATTTTCTAGATTAAAAAAAAATCAAGGTAACCTCTTATTCTACGTTTTCAACGCACATACATACATATATCCGTAATATACCAAGTAAAATTGATAAAATTTTGAAGACCAAGGTATTATCTAATAATAAAAAACCTGGTTGTTTTATTTTTTCTATTTTGAACGTAATTTTGGAAATAAACCCTTTTTTGAGACGCGCGCCAATTGTTGGTAGTTTTTTGTCTTTTACGCTTACGAAGGTCGGTAGTGATAGCTGCGACGCGTTGCTAGATGGACCTATGCCGCCCGTATTGCACCTAGCTAGCTAATTCATTTCATAATTGTAATATATTAGACGTGGCATAAAACATCGATCGCTCAAGGTCATCACCGCTTTTCAGCTTCTTAAGTAAAATTTCGAATTCATATAAGAGCAATGCTACACGGGCGCTGCCGGTGCGTTGCTTGGTCGCAACGCTATGATTTCAGCGCAGCCAATACCATAGAGCAATGCAGTGTTGCAACGTAACGTAGCCGTTTTCCACCGCAGCACCGCTCCCGATTTCGTCTCTTGGCCCCTTATCCGATGTATATGCGTTCCGACGTCCCGCGCCGTTTCCACGCACTATGTAACATGTAATTCTAATTTATAAATAGTACAACGCCACGTAATTTAAAAAAAAATCCTTTTTACGCGTAAAGTTGTTCTACTGACTGTCTAATGATAACTATCACAAAAGTTTTGAGCTCTTGAAGCAAGGAACCATTATCAGCAAAACCAAAATTTCAACTAAAGTTCAGTGGTAAATTCAGGCAAAAAACTTGAAAAGTCATTACTTTTCTGTCTTAAACCAATATTGGTTCGAACTATACAAACGGCGACAAAGTTTCACAGTTACCCAAAAGGTGAATGGAAGACAAAGTTTAGAACAATTTTGAAGTTCGGAAAGCGAGGTTAGGTGCAAAAGCGATGTCATTAAGGTGACTGTGGAACATGAAAACACTGTAATTGGAAAACTTCGAGTCCTCTGGAATTTCTCTAATGCATTACCTTTTTAAAAGGTTTTTGTAGATCTTAATTTGCTTTTCTGATGAGACAAAACTGTTGTGCCACTGAAGATAATACTGAAGGTACACTAGCATTATTTCGTTTCAATATTTTAGCTGTAGGTATGATTGGTAATGTTTTTAGATTTTATTTTGCAGATTGCTTTACATTGGTATAACTCGCAAACGCAGCAGCATTTTCAGCAGCTTTAGGGCAAAGCCTCTTAGGCGAGCCCCTCTTTACTCTTCTCGCAGATAATGTATATAAATACTTGTTTGTAGAGCAAACTTTGTAAGAATTTTTCTTACATGACATTAAATAAAGCTATTAGTATAAGGAGAAGAAAAACTGAGATAATAATGTATTAGAAACACAGGTTTTCGTAGCAGTAGAGTTCTTGTGAAAGAGTTCGTCCAGGGAAGTACTGCCTTACTTATTTCTGTCGCCAAGCATTAATGTGAGCATTACTGCATTCCGGTTTTGAAGGGTGAAGGTGCTGGTGAAATTACAGGCACATGGAATTTGACAACAAATGTTTCACCGTGGCGGGCGCAGTAGTAGTGCTTCTCAGATCTTTGCGATTTAAATCTCTGAGCAGGACTGTAACTGATAGGCGTGTCGAATACCACCAGGCAACGACTTATTCGTTCTGTCACTTAGTGTCATAAAAAAGACTACCACACTAATTACCTGGTAACAAACTATAAAATTCCCTGTACTATGAGTACCAGGGCAACGGAATTCACTTCGGGACGCTACCCAGAACACGCATCAGAACCAATATAGACAAGTTCGTTTTCCAAATTAGTCCTACTGTGAATCGAATCATTCGGGTCATTGACGTGTTCACAATTACCTTTCAATGGCGTAGTTGAAGGTAGAAAAGTTGATCGAGAACCGCATCTTGAAGCATTGCGTCTCGGAGACTGAGTGCCCCATACTTTTTCTGCTTTTTCTCTTTAG